ATGGCAGAGTTTGGACTGGTACCCAGGTCAGTTTGAGTATGTTTTCCTGTTTTGTGCCAGCTCATAATAGATTTGTTTTCCAATAGCTTGTAAGGTTTTATGTGGCATTTGGAGTACAACTGTCTTAAAGAAAAACGAGTTTAAATTTCTGGGTTACACCACAGTGTGTGCTTAAGCTACAGATGATCTGATTTATAGTAATAAACATCTTTCATAGTAGCTACTTGTCATTTATAGTACTGTGTCCTTCTTGGGAATATTCCTAGTGCTATGTAAGGAATGTTATAAAAATATTTGTGAGTTTTAAGTTTAAATTTACCCCCCCCACACACTTCTGGGGATTGAATTTGGGGCACTAGGTTTGCTATACAAATGTTCCACCACTAACACATACCCCCATAATTTGGTGGGGTTTTTTTGTTTGTTTTTTTTTTCTGTTAGTAACTTTTTCTGAGAATTCCGTAAGAACTGTATATCATCTCTTCTCTCTCTCTCCATTCCAGCCCTTCCTCTGCACCCCACTCCCTCTCAAATTCATGACGTCTTTATTAATTATTATTGTTACTTATATATACATGAACATATACATCATGTACCACCTACAGAATCTATTTAGTATTGCTCCTATGTGCATGTGTTTAGGGTGACTACTTGGGATTGGATAACCTACCAGGGAGTTCATTCCTGGAGAAACCTGATTCTCTTTCTCAGAGGAGCCAGTGATTGCCTATGACTCTTCATCTAGAGGTGGGGTCTTGGGAAACTTCTCCTGTCTATGTTGACATGTCAGCTGGTAAGGCCGCCATGTTTATGCAACCGTTTCATTGAAATTTCATGGATATAGCATCCTGACATATTTAGAAGACACTATTGTTGCAGAATATTTAACTATGCAAAGATGTGTTGCGTTTGTTTAATTATGTAAAGATGTGTTGCTTTTTACCTTCCCTGCCTAAGGCACCTGGTTGATCTCATAAAAAGCTGAATGGCCAATAGCAAGGGCAGAGGTATAGGCAGAACTTCCGGGCAGGGAGAGTAAGTAGGAGAAGGAATTTAGGCTGGGGGAAGAAAGAAGAGGAGATGACTGGGAGATGCCACAGGCCAGCGAGCCCGCCACAGAGGAAGCAGCAAAGTAGGGCACCCAGGATGAAAGAAAGGTCAAAAGCTCCCAGGCAAATGTAGATGAACAGAAACAGGTGAAGTTCAGTCGAAAGAGCTGCTGGGACAAATTCAGGCCCATAAGGCCAAGCATTCATAATTAATAATACGTCTCTGTGTCTTTACTAGGGAGCTGATTGGTGAGCCAAAAAAAAAATTTCCAACTACACATTGTTTCATATGAAGCTAGTGTCCTGGTTTTCTGGTTGTTCGAATTCTTCCACTCCCTTTTCTACAATAATCCCCGAGCCTTAGGTGTAGGGTAATGTAGATGTCCCGGTTAGGGTTGGTTTCTGCATGGTCTTTTATTATTTGCATTTGACCAGTAGTGGATCTCTGTAGTAGCCTCATCTGCTGCAAAAATGAAGCTTTTTTGGTGAAGTTGAGAATTAAATCTGTGGGTAAAAGGATAAGTCTTTAGATTACAGTCAGAAATTCTATTGGTTTAGAAAAAATGGCAGTAGTGGGTTCTCTAGGGTCTGTGACCTCTCTAGGCACATGTAGTTGGCTAGGTTTACAGTACAGACTTGAATTCCTACCTGTTGAGTAGGCTTTAGTTTTTTATAAACGCCACCATTGTTCAATTATACTTGTGTATACCTCTCTGCCAAAGGCAAGCAATATGCCCAATTGGCTCCTTTTCTTCCTTGTGTACCTGCAGTGAGTTAAAGAGTTCTGCTCTGTACCAAACTGGATGCAGTATTGGAGAATCCCTGTGTGAAGATGGAGTCACTTAGATAAGGCAATCCGGAGCAAGGTAGCTGTTAAGCTGAGGCAGAATTGGTCGTGTAGGTAGTGGGGTCATCACTGCACAGGTTCTAAATGGAGTGGAATTATGAGCCATGGCCTATGTGACCTAGTGAAGATAGAATCACTTTTCCCCTATGAATGTGTAGATTTGGGCAGTGGGTTGTTCACACGGTTTGGCTTGATTGTAGAAATATAAATTTAATTCTCTGCACAAGTCAGTAGTGCGTGTGTGGAGCTCCTGTTTGGTTTTCTTTTTCTTTACCTAATGCTGCACATTAGGATTTATTATTACTATTATTTGGTTGCTTGAAACAGGGTTTCTCTGTGTAACAGTTCTAGCTGTCCTGGAATTGGCTTTGTAGAGCAGGCTGGCCTCGAACTCAGAGATCTGCTTGCCTCTGCCTCTCGTGTTCTGGGATTAAAGGTGCGTACCACCATGCCCGGTTTAGGAGTGATTCTTACCTCAGGGCAGTGCTTCCTCGTGGCACGCTGACTACAGTGTGCATTTTCCTCTTTGGAGGAGAATTCCCCTCCTCACTGACATCTCTTTTACAAAGCTTGCAGAACATCTATTTGTCACGTGGCATTTTGCTTTCAGTGTTTAGTGGGAATATTTTCCTGACACCACATAAAAGTCTAAAGGCTTCTCCTGTCCTCAAGCCTTCAGAGTGTAAAACATTAAGAGTTGGTGCACCCCTAAGCCTCTGTGTTGTGCGTACACTGTTCTTGTTGGCAAACTGATGGAGTAGCTGGGAATTGAGATGCCTGGCCTCTGCCCTAGTGGGTGACTTTCTGCACTTTGGCTAAGCATAAGAAGAGAGGCCCTGGAGGCCTAGAAGCACCCCAGGAGCTGCTCTCCTAGGTTTCTGAAGAAGCGAGGAGGAAAGGCCTTCCCAGAACCAAATAGCTGGTAGAGTGGAGCTGCTATTCTAGTCCAGCCCTGGCTGGTTTGGAAGACTTTCCCTACTGTGTGTGCTCTGTTCTTGTTACTGCGCGTTTACAGATCGTAACCCCAGTGGTGGGTGGACAGGACGGTGAGTTCGCAGTGCCCCTGAGTGCGGTGGTAGAGCCAGGTTTGCAGGTACACTGCACTTTAAAATGTTGTGCATTTTAAAGAATTCCTTTTCTGACTGGGATGAGGCTCAGTGGTAAGAGTGCTTGCCTAGCATGCATAAGGCACAGAGTTCAATTCTCAGCACTGTTGTGTCCTGGGAATTAATTTTTAAATGTCTTCTGTTCTGTCATTCGTGGTGTCATAGTGACAAATATTCCTGTTCCTGTTGGTAAATGTTTCCTCTTTGTGGGACTGTTAATAATGAAAGAAGGTTATATACACTTCTCTTAGAAACTGTATTTCAGCAATAGATAAAACGTTTAGTTACAAAAGTTAGTTTAGAAGAAAAATTATTTAATAAGACATTGAATTAGGACACACATAAGATTTCTGGGTGCCAAGACTCATCTGCATTGCTTGCTGCTGCCCCTGAGCCTGTGTGAACAGTTCCTGGCCAGAGCGAGGGCTCAGGTGCCTTAATGAACAACTTCAGGACGATCTCATCCCTTTGCTTTTCTTCTCTTTGTGCGTTTCTGTTTCTCTGTTCACGGTCTCTCAGGTTCTTCCATGAGAGGTTTTTGAGAGGTTTTTTTTTTTAATGTTATTCTGTTGTTTAGTTTTGACTTGGTACTATCATCAGTTTCTGAATGGTTATTATCTTAAATTATTCACTTGAATGTGCATAATTTCATTTGGAAAGTATTACGAAATGACAGAGTGTTGTTTTGGGACAAAATACTGCTATCAACTTTTGCTGGTATCTTAATTTTCCTAATTGTAGCAAGATTGATCTAGATTAAGGGTTAACAGTTGAGGTGTCTTGAAACTAAGAAGGGGATCCTGAGAAGGGAGGAGAGACCCTTAGGAAGGGGAAGAGGAGAGCAATGAGATACACTTGATAAGATGGAGAGAGGGGAGTATCCTGGGGAAGGAACTAGAGAAGGTTGGGGCCATAGGGAGAGCAGCGGGGCAGCAGCACACGTGTGTGGAAGCACCCTGGTGAAACCTAGTATTTGTATGCTAACCAAAAAAGTTATTATTATTTTTTTAATGAAAGGAAATAAAAGGCAAAGCCACTCATGGGTAGGATGAATGGTAAGTGGAGAAGGCAGGTGCCCGTAGGGGCAGGCAGGTGGTGGGAGCGAGTGAGCTGGGCAGGGGGCAGTGAGGAGTTCTAGGGCTCTGGTCACTAATATTTCATTGACGATTTTCATGCTAACCTGTAATGAACATTGTGCATTAATGGATAAATTTGACCAGAGACAAACGTGTGTGATTTTTACCTAATAGTTCTTAAAGCTGACTCTACTTAAGCATTACCTATGGAGCACTTAAAAAAAAAAAACAAAACGGATGCCCAGATCCTCCTCTTCTCAGTTAAAGTTAAGCGCTTCCCAGTGCTTCTAATGAGCAGTCAGGCTGGGGTGACTAATTGGGTCCTGACTAGGGTGCTTTCCGCACCTGGTTTCCAGAGACAAGCGAATGCTTGTTTAGAAACAGCCAGTGTGCACTGAGGGAGGACGGCATCCTTTCAGACAGATAAACAAGCCCTTTCTTCATAATGAGCCTTAATGAAGGTGGTTGTTGGGATGGCCACCCAGGGCCAAATCTGCATTAAAGTGTGCCCGTTATGCCAAGCAGTCCCCATGTACCACCGTATACTCTTTCCCTCAAACTGTCCCTTTGGTTCCCTGGTTCTAGTAAAGTTTCTGCCTGTGCTCTGTTTGAGGACTAACTTTATTTGAGTTTCATTGTAGGTGAATTTCCTCAGGATGCCTCCTTTAAGAAAGCATTTTGTCTGAAGTTAGGGCATCTAATATTGAGGACGCTTTACAGCTATATTCTCCTATGTTTAAACAGTGCTCTGTAAAGTGAGTTTTAAGAAGACGAGAGCCTCCCTACCCAGCTCCCACCTTTTTGTTTGCTTAGGTTGTGCTTTTGGCTGGACTGTGGTTTTTTGGGTGGGGGCAGGCATGTCTAGGAGTTGCACCTCTGGCTCACCCCTTCTTTCTTTGCCCTCTCTTTTCTTCCACCAGTGTTTACTGTCACAGCCAAAGTTCTGGGCCATTCAGACATCAGCCTTGATCCTCCGGACAAAGCTCGAGAGAGGAAGCACGCGGCGAGTGGAACGGGCAATGAGGCAGACACAGGTACCATGGTGGCACTCTCTCCCTCTGTTGCTGTAGTGTATGCATGAGGCACTTGCAGGGATGTTTTGTCGTTACTTAGATTACAGGCTCTAGAATTTGATTTGACTGCAAAGTTCAGCTTTGTCACTTTACTTTGTAGCTGTGACCTCAGCCTTTAACCTGTGTAACCCTGCATCTCATTTTATATCCATGCTGGCCTCAAACTCACTATGCACCTTCCAAACGCTGGGACTGGCATGGGATGTCAGGCCCAGCTTGGATTTTGAATCTTGTTTTTGGTGTCAGATGGTGAGAACGTGCCTTGTGCTTTGCCTGGGGAGCACAGGTTTAGAAGCAGAGAGATGCTACTCCGTTTCTCCTTAGGCCGTGCAGGGGTCGCCTCATCTTCTCATCCTGCGCCACATTAGTAAGGAGGGACAGCACTGTGGAGCTGTTAGTGCTGCCTCTGCAGACCAGTACTTTGCGGGGGGGGGGGGGTGTCTTTTTATTCCCTGTTTCCTGAATTTTGGAAATTAGATCATGTGACAGGATGAATCCATGTTTGTCTAATTTTCTGTCTTTGTTGAGCCCCTTAGCTCACACCCTGAACTTTTGCCAGTTCCTCTGATTCATAGTGTGGTGCTTCAGTGTTTGTTAAAATGACCACATCTCTCAAGAGTAAGGGAATGACTTAAAATAACAACTGGATATATAAAACAAAGGGTTTTTTAATTAAAATTTTTAATTTCTGTAAAGATTGGTTTCCTTCCAACATTGTGCAGTGCTAAATGATGAACTGTTAAAGTTGGGGGGATGGCAGGGGGACCAGAAGAGGCTCCAAGGGAAAGCTCAGTCATGCTTGTTGAGGGACTGCGGGTGTGCTGACCGTCCGCGTGGGCTGTAACTTAGTGATAGGCGGTCACATTGAGGGCTCCAATGACAGGCCCTGTGTAATGGTGAATTTTTAAATGATAGATACCAAAGTTAAGAAGAAAATGTTGCATCATACACGAAGGTAGATAACCAAAGATTCTAAAAGCCACAAGAGAGAGGAAATTACAAACTCAGGAGAAGCCGTTAAAAACAATCTAGTCCATGAAATCTTCTAGGCTGAGTGTTGTTGCCTATGCAGGTTAAGAGTGAGGTCAGATCATGCTGGGGAAATCTACAGAGACAACTGAACCAAACTCTTGGGAAGTCACAAACTCTAGACCGACATCTGCGGAGCCTGTATGGGACTGAACCAGGCCCTCTGCATGTGGGAGACAGTTGTGTAGCTTGGTCTGAGGGGCTCCTGGCAGTGGGCCAGGATCTATTCCTGATGCGTGAGCTGACTTTTTGGAGCCCATTGCCTGTGGTGGGAGGCCGTGCTCAGCCTTGATGCAGGGCTTGGTTCTGCCTCAATTTAGTGTGCCAGACTTTGTTGATTCCCCATGGAAGGCTTTACCCTTTGAGAGGAGTGGATAGGGGTGCGCTGAGGGGGAGGTGAGGAGGGCAGGAGGAGGGTATGGTTGAATGTAAAATGAAATTATAAAAGAGTGTAGGTGAGGATAAAGTCAGTGCTTGTGGAAGCCCTGTTCACTGTACCGCTTAGGTTTCTAGCTGAGTGTATCAAAGCTCTGACGGTTTGAATGAGAGTGGCCCCCACAGGGTCCTGTGTTTGAATGCTTAGTCACTGCAGAGTGCTCTGTTTGAAAGGATTAGAAGGATTAGGAGGTGTGACCTTATTGGAGTTAGTTGCGGGGGGTGGGGGGGTGGACTTCAAGGTTTTAAAGCCTGTCAAGCCCAGAGTCTCTCAGCACACAGAGCAGGCTGTGGTTCTCAGCTGTTGTTCCAGTGTCTGCTTGAATGCTGTCGTGCTTCCTGCCATGACCACAGGGACTAAACCTCTGAAAGTGTAGGCAAGACCCAGTTACCTGCTTTCTCTTACAACAGTTGCCTTGGTCACAGTAGAACAGTGACTGAGATGGTAGTCATACTGTCCCTTTAAAAAAAAAAGTATAGCTTTTTCTATTGTCATTCAGCTTTCTCGGCCTTATCAGAATAAAATCTTTTTGAGATATTTCTTGACTATTTTTGTTTTTTATTTTGAAAACTATTCATATCCCAAGTCCATTTTTTGAATAGGTTGTTTTATTTTTTAAAGTTCTTTATATATTCTGGATTTTAGTCCTCTGTCAGATGATAGCTGGCAGAGATAGTCTTCTTCTCTGTGGGCTTCCTCTATTCTTGCTTGTTTCTTTATCTGTGCAGAAGAATTTTATTTAATGAGGTCCCATTTGCCAATTGCTGGCCTCAATTCCTGGTCAAATGGGTCCTATTCAGAAATTCCTTTTCTAGGCCTCTATCCTGTAGGGTTTGGCCTGTCCTATAGGGTTTTCTTCTAGCAGCTGCAGCGTGTCACAATTAGGTCTTTCATCTGTTTTGAGTGTTTTTGTACAAGGTCACAGATGTAGGCTAATTTCACTCTTCTGCAATTGGATGTTCAGTTCTTGTACCATATGTTGAAGATTCTGCCTTTTCTCCAGTTTTTGTTTTTGACATCTTCGTCAAGTTTTGGATGGCCATAATTATGAGTCCTCAGTGGTATTCCACACAGCTTCATGTGGTAACTGTTGAGCGGTCCTAGCCCATGGAAGCACAGTTCCTTTGCAGTCCCTCAGACCTTCTGAAGGTTTAAAGGGACCCGAAGTCAGAAAGTTTTAGGAGTTCTGACCCAAGATGTGACTAGGGAAGGGAGGTCAGCGTGGTCACCCGGCTTCCTCAAGGCTGCCTCTGTTGGTTTGTCTTCACTGTGGAAGCTGAAGAGAAGCCCTCACTCTCAGGATCCCATTAACTGCAGCAGCTGAGCTCCCAACTCCCTTTAACCTCAGCGGCTGAGCATGTTACTGCCTATGGCAGGTCCTGATTCCTGTGTTGGGGGTTTGAGTGCCGTAAAGAATGGTCAAACACTAGTCTCAGTGTTTCCTCAGCAAGAAGCTGCTTTTCATTTCACAGTCTGGTCATTGTCGTTGTGGGGATGAGATAAGAAGCAGAAGCTGCCAGCGCGGCTCCTCTGCTCCAGTCCTGGGACTTTGACCTGGATTTTATTTCTCACAGGTGCCATTTGCTAATTGTTATGTAATTCTGGTTCAGCATAGGCTTAAGTTTATTGAAGCTTAATAAATTTTAATTCTATTTCTTTTTAGCATGGGGGATTTTATTCTTGAGAGTCTGAGGTGGCAGTCTGACTGATGGATTTGTAAACCACTGTCCACTTCAGGCTCCTGTCAGAAAGAAAGCTCTTTTACCCAATTGTTGATAATGTTTGTTTAAGTGCATATTTTAATTTTTTAATAAGTCCTGTCCTGCACACACAGACATGTACAAAGATTGCACAGCAAAGACGATCAAAGGTGACCTGGCAGGTGATGAGTCAGCCCTTTCAGATTGTCAGCTCGTCTCTGTTGGGCTCAGCAGCCCCAGACACTTTGATATACTTCTAGTGAGAATGGATTGCTGTCGGTGAAAGGGAAGGCCCTTTGGGACCAGCTGCTTCTTTGAAGATGTATGGCTGTACTCTCAGATGTAAGCACACGGTGTCTGAATCATACCAGACCTTGTGCAGAATTGTCCTGCATACTAAATCATCCTCTGGGTAACTGTAACTTCAGTCTTGATCTTCTGGAGGGTTTTCTGGGAAATTCTTTCCTGAAAAAAGGCACCAAAAGGAGGAGACACATCTTTACATTTGGAGGTTTCACCCTCCTATACCCATTCCATAGAGATACCCTCTGACTCACGAAACTGCAGCTTCTGGAGATGTGGGCATTATTATTGTGGGGGCTTGGGAGCTCCATATGCACAAATACTTAGCTTTTAGAGTCAGTTTAGGAAAAATGACCTTAAAACGAAGTTTTAAAACTTGAAAACAAGCCAGTACTAGTGGTATGTATCTGTATTCCCAGCATTTGGGAAGCTGATTTGGTAGATCTGACAGGGTTACCACTGACTGAGGGGGAGACCCCACCTTTGGACACCTGGCTTTGCTAACAATTAACTAACTTACCTTAAATGTCTGAAATAAAAAGAAGTTCTTGGGGACTGAAGGTATGGCTCAGTGGTTAAGAGCACCAGTTGCGCTTACAGAGGACCTGGGTTTGATTTCTTGCCCCCACATGGTGGTTCACAACCATCTGTAACCCTAGTTCCAAGGGATCTGATGCCCTCTGAACTCTGCAGGCACTGGGCACACAAGTGGTGCACATAAATCCATGAAATGCAAAACCAATTGGGCATGGTCTCTTAATGGCTATTGGCCAAAGGAGCTCCCACAGCACCACATAAATAAAATAAAGCTACACAAATTAAGATTATTTTAAAACAACAACAAACCCACCAAAGCTTTCTTGAGAAAGCCATCCTTATAAATTTGCTGGAAGTGCAAGAATTATTTTAAAAATCCTTTCAGGGATGAATGCCTCTGGTTAAAGGATCGCTTCCTTGTGGGTAGACCTGGAAGAGAACTCAGGTCATTGTAAATGTCAGCCCTGCTTTCCCTATTTCCTGTGCCTGTGAGAACTCCAGTCTGTTTGACTATGCTAGCATTTTTTCAGAACTTGCTAGAAATGAGCTTGCTCTGAAAAAATCTAGTCACCCACTGCTGCCAGCGAGGTACCTTGGCTCAGAGAGGCCACACCTTCCTGTGTAATACCTCCAGCTGGAGACCAAGTGTTCAGATCCATGAGTCTGTGGAGGATGTTTTGCATCAAACCATGAGAGGCTTTTGTTAGGATGTGTTTGTAAATTAGCAAATAAAAAGAGAATACTTTGAACTCAGTGGAGAGAATAGCAGTGTACCACCGCCCGTTTTTGTGTATGAGTTTAATGTTCTTAGTTTTACTGGTAGCTGAACCTTACTTAGGTGATTGTCATGCTTAAGTCAGCAAGAAGTATACACTTGTAGGAGAGTAGAAGATAGCTGTTAAATTAATCTCTACCCATGTGGAACCAATTCAGCTTTTGTAGGGTGCTCACTTAAGTGGTTCTCAACCTGTGGGTGGGTCGTGACCCCATAGATTGTATCTCAGATATTCCGCATATCAGATATTTACATTATGATTCATAGCAGTAGCAGAACTACAGAGATGGAGTAGCAACAAAATAATTGTATGGTTGGGGTCCTCACAGCATGAGGAACTGTACTAAAGGGTCACAGCATTAGGAAGGCTGAGAGCCCCTGCTCTAGATAGTTCATGCATGTTGGCTCTGTTATCCCATCTGGTGGACTTGGCGGTTTCAGAGAGCACCCAAGTCCATCAGACACAGATACCTATGTCGCCCAGAAGCATCTGAAATGTACAAACAATTATTATTAAGTCAAGAACAACTTACTGAGTACTTAATGTTCTTTAGTCATATCATCAAACAACATGGATTTTGTTGAAAATAAAATTTCACATGTAACTAGGGTTTGGTAAATTGTATGATATTAGTTTTAAATTTTAGATTATTAAGTAAAAGCTATTTTTTTTCTTTTTGAAAATGTGGTATGTTGGTTTAAAAAAAATGCCTTTCTTTTCATGAAGGAATTCTGTGATCTTTATTTATGTATTGTGACCATATGTCTTCAGCCAGAAGTTGCTGTTCGTTCTTTGCCCTTCCTCCCTCAGTGAAATAGCCCTGGCTAGAGGCATGCAACCTTTTTCTATTAAGTTTCTGTGAAGCTAGGCCAGGGAGCCTAGATGGTTGAGGAGTGTGGTTATGTCTCAATTTGTTCGGACTGACTTTGATTGAATAGAATCTTGGGCTGTCCAAGGAGTTTGTTCTGACATGTGAACTCATTCTGTGACATACTGAACCAAGTGGTTCTCCTCCCTCACACATGGCAGAGAAAGAACCACAGCTTCAGGCTGTTGTGCCAATTAGGAACTGGCCCGTGTTTAGCTCTGTGGTACTTACTGTTCTCCTCTCTGTAATAAAATACCCGACTAAGCAGCTTTATTTTGTCTCCCAGTTGGGGAGATTTTAGTTGATCATGGCAGGGAAAGCATGGTGAGAACAACTCAGTCTGTGTTGGTGGTAGTGTCAGATAGCACAACTGTTTCTCGTGGCCACCCAGGATGCAGAGAATTCTAGAGAAATCTAGATCAGACTTAAAGGCAGGTGTAACCTTCCAAAAGTCACTCCTGGCCACCTGCTGCTGCGTGCTAGCGCTCTTCCAATATTGCACTTCATAGCTGGGGACTAAGTGTATTTTCGAGCCTTTGGGGCTCGAAATCAAATCATGGCAGGTTTTTATCAGGTTAGATTCCTGTCCTTACCTTTCTTCTGAGGAAGTTTATTCTTGATTCTTAAATTTATTTTTAATTTTGTAAAAAAATGAAACAACTTGAAAGCAGATACTAGTAACAGCCTTCCATATCTTCACGTGTCAGAGACTTGTTACATGCTGCTTTGCCAGCATCCTCAAGTACAGGAAAGACCTTATCCCACACCACAGCCTCCTATGTTAGAATCAGAAAATTAAGAAGGACATGTTAATAATAACTCGATCATTATGTGAAAAAAGGTCACAATAATTCACAACTGAAATTCTGATGCCAAGCCTGGCATGGTGGGGCACACCGCTAATCCCATCACTCAGGAGGCAGAGGCAAATGGATCTCTTGAGTTTGAGACCAGCCTGGTCTACAAACTGAGTTCCAGGACAGCAAGGGCTACACAGAGAAACCCTGTCTTGAAGCCTCTCCCAGGAAAAGTCTGTAGTTAGTCCAAACCTACTGACAAATCAGAGGCAGGCAGATGGCCGTGGTAATGGGGCTGTCCATGTGTTTGTCTGGGATTCTAGACTATGTCTGAATTCAAGTTGACATTTTGTATGTGAGCTTTCTTTGATGACTAGTCATTTGATGACTATATAGTGCCAACTTTTGACTCTGCAGTTGGCTCAGGTTCCTATTTTCAGAGAGCCATCCTGGTCATCTCATTGCTTCTTGCTGTGTCTCTGGGAGCTGTTTTTCATTACCAGATTGGGAATTTCAGGCCATCACAGGAATTCAGTTATGTGGCTTGCAGTGCCCACTGCACTGCACAGATGGTCTTGTGTGAGTGGATGCCCACCCTTACACCTCCTTTGCTGAGGGATGAGAGTACCTGTTTGTAATCGGATAGAGCTGCTTTTTCTCATTTCACATGGTTGCTTCTCATTGTCAAACAGCATCACGTTGGAGATAAGTACAATAAAGAACACTTTTTCTTATAAAAAAATGAAAATTTTTAGTGAGAAGACTGGATCGTTGAAAGATTTATTATAGGAAATTTTAATTTAAAAATTTCCTGGTAATATTTAAATATGAATGTTTATAGAAATACTGATTAAATTTCAAGTTTTTAAAATACTTAAACTCAAAAATAAACTTCATACAGCCTTTTGCCTTGACCAAATGACTGGAGTTCTTTATTTATATGTGTATTTTAATGATTTTTATAGTAGGAACTTTGTTTACATTAAAATTATTATACATATAGACTGTGATTATGGTATGTGTTCTTAGGCTCTTGCAGACCAATTTGAAGACAAAACTACATCTGTACTGGAACATCTGAAGATTTTCTATTGCTGTCAGGTACCCCCTCATTGGGCTATTCAGGTACTTCTGTTTGTCTTCATTTTTAACTATTTTAGTGAAATCAGTAAAAGCACTTGGGGAGTTCCAGTTGTTTTAAATTGCTGTTTTGATTAAAATGGTAATGGATTTAAAAACGTTTTGAAATGGTTTTAAATTGGTAGTAGGTAGGATCTTAGAATTTAAGATAGAAGAATCATAAATGCTTTTGTTTTTCTTTTCCTGAATTTAAGTTTCTTAAGAAAAGGTTTTGATATAGATTTAAGCAGGGGTGTGGAGAGCGGAGAGAGAGAGAGTGCTGGTTAGGAATGTGCTTGGGCTTCTCAGGAGAGTTGTCTGCCTGCTTTCACTTTCAAAAGGACATTTTATAGTAACCTTTTAAAGATTTATTTTTTATTATGAGTGAGTATACGTGTGTGTGTGTGTGTGTGTACACGCGCGCAAATGATCATGGAAGGTAAAAGAGTGTCCAGAGCTGGGGTTGTAGGTGCTTGTGAGCCAATTGACATGAGGCAGGGAACTGAACTGTCTGGGTCTTGGAAGATCAAGAAGTGCCTGTTAACTGCTGAGCCATCTTTCAAGCCCAGCATTTTATATTCAAATATCTTTAAGGCTTTTCTACGAAACAATAAACCTTTGAACCTTTTAACAGTGTTTACAAAAGCAAATAAAAGGAAAGCATTTATTTGACACTTTATGTTTTGCGATATCCCCAACTGTTCTCTTTCCAGGGTGCAAGGGTGACTGGGGGAGCTCCTAAAGTCCCAGACTGAGCTAGCATGCAGCCTTTGTCCTGTGATTCTTAAATGGGAGCTGAATTTCAAAGAGCAGTAAAGATGTATTCAAAGAGAAAACAATTCAGAGACCACTGACCTGAAACCAGATCTATTCAAAAACTTCAATTTCTTTATTTTCTTATAATATTTTTTCCATTCCTGTAGGATGGGCAACTTAAAACATATTCTACTTATTGTTGAGTGTATTGTTTACTGGCCAGCACCTACTTTGCTTGCTCATCTTGATCTTCTAGGGCCTGTGGAATTAAGTGACTCAGATTACTAGTCTGTGTCTAAAACAAGTAGGACTGCTTGAGACAGAGCCTGAGATGCCCTCATGTGGAAAGAGGAAGCACGGAGGCTTTAATGGTGCCTGCATTGCTTCCTCAGAGCTTTAAACACTGGTCTGTGGGATGTAACTTTTGCAAATCAGAGCTTCTTGTGGAAGGAATCTTTAGATAAGAAGGAAATAATTGACTTTTTTTTTTTTAGTTCTGAGATCTTAAAAATCTGATGCATTGAGTATTTTGATCAGTTTCTATTTTGTTTTTAGTACTTCATTGCCTGTAAAAAAGCTTACTGAAGTAAGTGTGGTTCTCACAGATTCCTGGGTAGTAGATGTGGAATTTTGTAAATGATGTTTTTATTACAATAAGCAGCCCTTTAAAAGGCAGGTTGGAGTTACTGGGCAAGATGGATTTGCTTCCTGTCGAGGAGTGTTGATGACTCTCATTTGTCTTTCTAGCGCCAGCTTGCAGGTTTGCTCTTTGAGTTGGGATGTACCACTTCAGCCCTTCAGATATTTGAGAAGCTGGAGATGTGGGAAGACGTGGTCAGATATTTGAGAAGCTGGAGATGTGGGAAGACGTGGTCATCTGTTATGAAAGGACTGGGCAGCATGGGAAGGTACGTGACAGGCATGTCAGTGTGTGGTGAGCCCCTTCTTCCTTCCACACGTCTCCATCGCGCCTTAGAAAGCCTGCTTCTGATAGTGTTTACTCCAGTTCCTCCTTTCACTTAGGACTTTGCAGCATTTGCTCTGATTTATGTTGGGCAGCTTATTTCGTGTCTGTAAAGAGAAAAGCAGCCTGCAGTTGATATAACATTGGCATTTAAGAAAGAATAATAAAAGCTTGAAGGTACTGCATGTTTTGATCAATTTTTCTATCGATTCTTCTATAGGACAGCTTTGAAGTAAACTACCAGGGATTAATTTTAACTGTCTTTGGCATTCCTGATGATTAGAGGCTGTGGACATGATGGAGTCATCTAGGAGGCTGAGTCTGTTTGAAAAGGTCTATGGGATCGCTGTATGAAGTGTGTGATGCAAATTTAACTCCACTCTTAAATTGGGTCAACAGAGAAAATGTACTGTTTGCATCTGTTATAAACCTATTGTTTCCTCTCCTCATACGTGAACCATATGTTAAGATTTCTGTCTCTACATTGTGAGTAGCCATAAAACTGGATACACTGAAATCACATGTTGATTAAAACAACTTATTTTTATTGTATGTGTATGAGTGTTTTGCCTTTATATGTATGTGCACCATGTATGTGCTTGGTGCCCACAGAGGCCAGAAGAGGGTGTCAGATCCTCTGGACCTGGAGTTACAGGTGGTCATGAGCCCGTACATGTGGGTGCTGGGAACTGAGCTGAGGTCCTGTGCAAGAGCAGCAAGTGTTCTTAACTGCTGAGTCAACTCTGCAACCCTTGCTTGATTCTAATTGCACTTTATGTGACTAAGTAGAGCCCATAATGACTCCAATCCTTGGGTTGGTTTTACTCTCACTGTTACCCTTTCTGTTGTTATGAAGACGAGGAACAGTGGTTCAAGTACACGATTTTCTTATATAGCTTCCCACTGTGAGTATTAACTGTGACAGTTACTTGGATTGATCAATGACACTGACATGAATTGGTCAACGACAGTGAAGCTCTTTGAGTTGTTCAGTGTAGGGAGAAACCAGCAGTGTCACCAGGAGATCCAAGGTCCCTTTCATAGGTTTTTAGTCTTTCAGATAAAAGAATTTGGAGCTGGCTTACTGTCTCTACAGGTAAAAACAATTGCCCTTGCGAGCCTGGCAACCTGAGTTCCCCTGAACCCACATAAGACTGGGGGAGCGAGCTACCGAAGCTATCCATTGACTCCCTCGTGCATACTCCCTCATGCATACATGTGCAATAATTAAATATCAACAAAGCATTGAAATGGACTCCGGAAACTCAAGGACACTTCTATTGGAGCTTGAGAATAGAAACCAGAGGAGGAGAATTGGAGATCATAGCAGGTGTGGAGGAAGATGGAAAAGAGAAAATGTTAAACTTTTTAAGTTAGAGGTCGGGAAATCATGTATGGTGGGGCTGCTACCAGCTACAGATGGACCTCGAGTGGGGGTGGGGTCAGGGAGAGTCAGATTGCCTGCAGAGTGAGGAGTGGGGTTGGGATTCTGGCCAGTGTCTATAAAAGGGAAAGAAAATTATACTTTGTGAGTTAGAACTCAGAACAGCAGGTTTGGCAGGGAGTCAGCCAGCAACCACATTGACTGTGTGTGATGGTGGTGGTGGTGGCTTCTGGGGTATCCAAGTAGTTATCTCGTTTAGGAGGGAGTTCTCAACATGGTGCCAGTGTCACCTCAGGTGTATCGTGATTATTCTCGTTTGACTCCAGACTGTCCTCTTGAGCTCATAAAGCAACATTTTCCCCCCTAGAGGTTAAAGGAAAACTCCTATTGTCTACCTCAAAGGTATCACTCACTGGCTAAACCCTTTGTGAAGGAGGGTGCTGACTCTTGACCATGATATTTGTGTCAGATCACGTCACCATGTCTGTACTCAGGTGTCTCAAAGGGTCTTCAAATGTGCAAGACAGCCACCCTTGTGGAAAGGCAATCGTATGGCGGGAAGCTGGCATCGCTGCGTTGTGTCCCATGGTGCCTGTGAAGCAGCTGGCTGCAAATGGCCCTTCTTAGCACCCTTTCCCAGCAAAGCATTCTTTTCCAGCAGGACTCAAGCTTCTGTCAAGATTACATAATATCTTGATCCTGGAAAAGAATGCCACTGCTATCCTCGCATTCCCTCCGACTCCACACCACAGAAGATTCCCTCTCCTTAGGACTCAACTCGGGCTACAAAGTCTGCCTCTCATCACCTGCTCAGGAGGCAGCGTGGCCTGATGGTTAAGGGCATCTTCTTGGGACAGCTGCCTGAATTCAGGTGTGCACTTGCTGTCTTGCCAGCCTTGTGATGTTGAGCAGCTTGCTGTATCTACCATGTCTGTTTCCCAGTCTAGAAGCACACATCTGCTTGCCTTCTAGGTTTTCACATGGTAATGTGTATGTGCGGAGTGGTACTTACCTAGCTGTGCTTCGTGAGTGTTTGATGTGGTTCCAAGCGTGTGCCTGTTTCATTTGGTATCGCTGAAGTGACAGCATTATCTGTGGTCAGAGATGTCTTCAGATTTCAGTCAGTCCATTGACTAACCTGTGAGGTGACCCATACTTGTGTCTGTGCAGGCTGGTTACAATGTTCTCCATGTCACTATTTCAGTGGTATTAGCATGCCGTTTGTTGGGTTTAATTGCCATTTAAAATGAAAAGATGATCTCAGTATGGTTTAGCATAGAAATAAAAAGCTGTTAAATTAAAACCAAAACCAAACAAACAAAAAAACCAAAGTAGAGAAATAAATTTGGAATTTGTGAAATAAACATTTGCCATTCATTGGTGAAGTTATCAGAATTTCACTGGCCTACCTTTCCTTCCTTTCATTTTCTCTGCTGCAGTCTTTGTGAGGTACTAGTTATAAATCTGTACCACCGAGTGTCTGTTCCACGTGTCTGTCCAGAGCATGGGAAATCTGATACTAAGGAATGGCAGACTACCATAAAACATGGTGGGGAAGGTTCTCAGAAATAAAAATATTCTCTGTCTGGGCAATGGTGGCTAACACCTGTAGTCCCAGCACTCAGGAGGCAGAAATAGAGGGACTCTCTTTGAGTTCAAGGCCAGCCTGGTCTATAAAGAGTTCTAGGACAGTGAAGGCTATTACACAGAGAAACTCTGCCTTGAAAAAAAGAAAGAAAGAAAGAAAGAAAGAAAGAAAACAAAAGAAAAAGAACGAAAAGTAGGCAGGCACTCACCTCTCTGAGTGGGTAGCCTTAGTGTAGGAGCAGAAAACTGTTCCTAAGCAAAGGACCTTACAGATCACTCAGGCTTGGGGGGGGGGGGGAGACGTGGTAAGAAAGACAGCCCTGCAGAAGGAGCTGGGGGAGGGGGATTTGTGCTCTCTTCCAGAATAATCTGTCCCTGGATAGCACACACTCACCCATCCAGATGGAGCTCCTCAGTGTTGTTCCTTTTGGAGACAAGGCCGCACATGCACAGAGAATACAGCATCCCACCGAACTACGAATCCCCGCAGCCCAATGGAAAGCCACACATGCGCAGGACATTCTCCCAGATGCACCTGCGTTCCCCGTTAAATACGGGGGACACCACAAGTTGCTCTCTTTCCTTTTGTCTCTTCACCCCTGTCCCTCAACTGTCGCCACCCCCCTCCATTAAAGTTCACCCACGTGGGACCTCCGTGTATCTCGTGTCTCCTTCCTAACCCTGCACCGCCATGTGTCTCGTGTTCTTTCTCCAACCCTGCATCCACCCCCCACAGAAAGAATAACATTGGTGCCGTCTACTCGAGGACCTCTCCTCCCAGTCACCTAAGGCTGCGGCTCTGGTTTGGCGCCTCCCAGAGCCCGGGGCCTCCCGGGACAAGGTCAGGACTGAGGACCTGAGACCGCCCCCAAGTGTTCAACGCGGACATCTACAACCAACAGCGGCTAATTAGTGAATTCACCTGGGTTGGCTCACCATCCCATCTCACCCAGAGATCTTCCGGTCGAACTCCCGGCTTTCTTTGGCACATCCTGGGTACGGTTGCCAACTCCTCCCCCCTCCCCTCCCCCGCCTTCCACCCTCGGCTAGACCTGTTTCTTATCCGTGCCTGGGAGCTCGGAGCTCCCAGTTCTCCCCTCTTCTTTCTGATCTTTTTCTGTCCTCTATGAGCTCGCTATGGTGCGAGCGCCTCGGCCACAATGGGCGGCCTCCAGGCTTAACTGCCCCCTCCTAGCTGGGATCCCGTTTCCCGTTGGAAGCTAGGATCGGGTCATTTAGGCTATAACACTGCCCTTTGATCACTCAAACGCCTGTGATTAGAGCTGCTGTGTTCATGGCATCTCCGGGTGCCTTCTGCGGATATTTCCACGGTTCTAGCCATGGGTGCTAAGCCTTCTAAAACGGTTCCCCCATCCTCTCCCCTGGGGCAGCTGTTGGAAGCTCTGCAACCTCACGCCCTGATTCCTTCCATTAAGTTATCTACACTCATTCGTCTTTGCTTTAAGACTTGGACGAAATACAATTTACAGGGGAACTTCAGATGGCCTTCTCAGGGATCCTTCGACCCCGATATTTTATGGGAATTAGCTAACTTTTGTCACCGTTCAGCTAAATGGAAAGAAATGATGTACATTATGGCATTTTTTTTACATGGCCATTAAAACTGACCCCTCCGCCGCTTCTCGCTGTTCACCTGCACACATGTTCTTATCAATGCTGTCCCTCCAGGAACCCTCTGCTCCCACCATGGGCCCTGCGGATAAACCTCCAACCCCCCCCCCCCCCCCCCCCCCGGCCTCGAGGGGCCACCCCCTCTCGCTCTGCCCAGTCGAGCTACAGCGACAGCTCACCCATTCCTCTTTCCTCCAAAGTTTCTTCTAGGCACAGGAAGGACTCACCTACATCTTCCCCCCATGATGCCTCTAAACGTTCTACTTCTAGGTCTCCAGGAGTCCCGCATAAATATTTGTCCAGGTCACCTAACTGTTCTCCTTCTAGATCCCCAAGAAAGTCCCGTTCCAGATCTGCAAGGGCTTCGCCTAGCACCTCCGATAGAGTCCCTCGTAAATATTCATCCAGGTCACCTCACCGTTCTCCTTCTAGATGCCCAAGAAAGTCCCATTCCACATCTGCAAGGGCCTCGCCTAGTCCCTCTGACTCAGCTTCACCCCATTTTTCCCGCAGCAGGTCGCAGCAAGCAGCTGGAAGCTCCCCCCCCCCCCCCCCCCCCCCCGCCACAGGTCACACAGGCAGTGGGAAGCTTCTTCGGACTCTTCTCCGTCTTCTTCCCGCCTACGCCTCCCCCACGCCTCCCCCTCGATCTTCCAAAGCCCCTCTGGGCTCCTGCCATCACTAATCACCATTCCCCCATTGTTATTCACTTAAAACACCCACACCTAAGGATATCAGGTTTCTAAAAGCTACCAAGGCCTCCTGTCAGATCTGCCAAAAGATAATGGCCCAGAGTTTACTTTCCAGATTTCTCAAAATCTGTCTAGGGCACTTGGAATCCCCTGGAATTTCCACATACCGTACCACCCTCAGTCTTCAGGTAAGGTAGAATGGACTAACCGCTCTTTAAAGGAAACCCCCATTAAAATGTCACAGGAACTCCACCTCGACTGGGTAAGACTTCTGCTTCTGGCTCTTTTCAGGCTTTGGGCTCTCCCAAAGGGCCCCCTTTTCATTTCACCCTTCGAACTCATGTATGGGTGGCCGGTTTTAACCCCCGGCCTCCCGTCGGGAACCTCTCCCCCTTCCTGATCACCTGCTCACTCCCCTCCTTTTCCACTTACGCTCGCTACTATGGGACTTCACAGATCACTCATTACCCCAACCATGTGCTAATACATGTCCACCGCTGGTTAAAATAGGAGATAAGGTATTATTCTCACCTCCAGGCCAATGTCCCTCACCCCTTTCCCCTAAATGGCAGGGTCTCCTCAGAGTAATTCTTCTAACTCCCACAGCTACCAAGCTTGAGGGAATTCCTCACTGGATTCACCTGTCACATCTTAAACCGTTCATCTCCTCGGCTCAAGATAATCCTCCATACACGGTAACCCAGACAGGACCTTGTTCTCTTAAGTTCCAAAGGATACCAGGTTCAGCACCCTCTACTCCAGTCTAAGGAAAACAGTGGTCCCATCCTTCACTTAATCCTCCTGTGTTAACACACCCTCCCTTCTTTAAATTCCTAAATAACCATCCAGCTGTCGTTACAGAAATCATCATCGAACGCGGAGTCAAAGGCTCAGGTGGTAAGCAGATTCTTAACAAAGTTCCTTGACATAACAGGTCAGTCACTGACTGCAGCAGTGACCCCTAAAATGAATACATGGTTAAAAGATATTTCTTTTAAGACATTTTCTTTAAGCTCCAGGATGCCAGCCCGACCCACCTAAACAAAGCAAACACAAGCGGATCATTAACGGAATAAGTATCATTTAATTTTTTTTATCATTCTTAACCCCAGACCTCCTAACCCCACCCCCCCACTCCAAATCGCCCCTTTAATTTTCCAAACCTCCTCCTAAACCTCCTCTCCCTTTTAATTTTTTTCTCTACTAATGCGACTTTTGTCTTCCAGCATCTTAACGATGACCCAGCTACTCAGGAGCCAGACAGATGCGATTTCTTCAATCAGCCACCTCATAAACACCAGTGGACAGGATATAATCAACAGGACATCCTCAGAATAATCGGATACTCCCTGGATCCCTCGACGCCCAAAGCCAGCAGGAAGCAGTCATAAGAGACCTGGCTAGGCCCCCATTCCCTACACGCTAAGACTCTCAATCCCCCCCAATTTTTTTTAATAAAAACAAAAGGGTGAAATGTTGTTCCTTTTGGAGACAAGGCCGCACATGCACAGAGAATACAGCATCCCACCGAACTACGAATCCCAGCAGCCCAATGGAAAGCCGCACATGCGCAGGACATTCTCCCAGACACACCTGCGTTCCCCGTTAAAAACGGGGGACACCACAAGTTGCTCTCTCTTTCCTTTTGTCTCTTCACCCCTGTCCCTCACCTGTTGCCACCCCCCCTTCATTAAAGTTCACCCACGTGGGACCGCCGTGTGTCTCGTGTCTCCTTCCTAACCCTGCACCGCCATGTGTCTCGTGTTCTCTCTCCAACCCTGCATCCACACCCCCCCCTGCAGAAAGACTAACACTCAGCACCTAAAGAGGGACGGCTAATAGCCCAATGAGCCCGGGACAAAAGGAAGAACGTGGCAGGCAGGGTGGGGTCCAGTAGAGCACAGGAGACCCTGGTGGACAAGCTGAAGGTGCCCGCGCTCCCTTTGGGGATCCTTGAGGCCTTCCCGGTAGGCAGGCACTTACCGCTCTAGGTGGGTAGCCTTACTGTAGGAGCAGAAACCTGTTCCTGAGCAAAGGACCTTGCAGACCAGGCAGGCTTGGGGGGGGGTTCCGTGTATAAGAAAGACAGCCCTGCAGAAGGAGCTGGGGGAGGGGGTTTTGTGCTCTCTTCCGGGACAATCCGCCCCTGGATAGCACACACTCACCCATCCAGATGGAGCTCCTCGGCACCTAAAGAGGGACAGCTGGTAGCCCAATGAGCCGGGGACAAAAGGAAGAACGTGGCAGGCAGGGTGGGGTCCAGTAGAGCACCTGAGACTTTTAATTATTAAGAAAGTCCCCTTCCCCACCCTGCACCCCACACTGGGCTGTGGGCTGGCTCCTGGAAGCGCAGCTGGGACAGTTGCCCTCTCCTGTCTTCTTTCTTAGGGGTGGAACCCATGAACTTTTGCTTGATAACAGGTGTGCTGGCCCCTCTGCCATCTCCTGTTAAACAATCATCCTCGTCTTTTTCTTCGGGGTACAAGTTTTTGCTTGACCACAAATTGTCTGGACTAGCCCTGTCCTCAGGCTTCTGTCCGGTGATAGCCATAACTCTTTGGAATGCCTGATTTAGGCCCTGAGACGGCAGCTGGATGAACCTAGGCTGGGAGGTTTTCTTCGGTTGTCTCTTTGAAGAAACAGTGCTGGTTTGAGTGCGTCTTGATGGATCTGTCAGTGTTCCAGAAGGACACACTTCTGTGGGTCTACTGTTTTTTTTTTTGTTGTTTTTTTTGTTTTTTTATTTTTTGGTTTTTCGAGACAGGGTTTCTCTGTGGTTTTGGAGCCTGTCCTGGAACTAGCTCTTGTAGACCAGGCTGGTCTCGAACTCACAGAGATCCGCCTGCCTCTGCCTCCCGAGTGCTGGGATTAAAGGCGTGCGCCACCACCGCCCGGCGGTCTACTGTTTTTGTAGAGCTTTATGTTTTGCTTTTTAAGTTCCTTGGTGATTTCCTTCATTGGATATTTTAAGTCTGAGGTCTTACTGAGTCTTGACTTAGCCCATTTTTCATGCTGGTTACTCTCAGAGTCACTATCTGACGCGGAGAGAACCTCACAGAATTCATAATGCCCAGAGTCTTTGGCTTCTGTCTTCCCTGCCACACCATGGCTGCCCCATTGCTTTTGCCTCCTGTGAACTGGTACAAAAGCCGGAGACTGGGAAGATCTGGACTGGAAATCTCTTGTAGAAGTTGGACTCTTGGAAGCTGGAGTATACATTTTAGCTTTCCTGTGTGATGATGAAGAAGGGTTCTTTGATGTGTCCGCTGTTTCTCCCACAATCCTTTGAGACTTGAGGTCTTTTTCCAATGTGCAAACTAAAATCAAGATGCGTCCGGATTTCACCACGGCCTTCAGGGGTTTTTATAAGGTGGATCTGTGGGTAGACGAGAAGGTAAGCAGACTGGAACTTATGACCGCATCCAAATTCTGAAAATAGGCCGCACTGCAAGCAGATGGGGTATTTCTGGACAAGACCTGACTGAGGGTGGAGGGACGTTGTAGGGTATCTGACTCCGTAAGAGTGTTGCTGCTATCTTTACCTTTAGATCTTTAAGCTCTTCTGAGAGCTCGGTATTGGTCTGGGAAAAATAACTTGCCTCGAAGGAGTGGTGAGACTCAGAAGTTCTTCTTTGTGAATCGCTCTGGGAGATATTACTCGGCTCC